AAATTCAGCACTAAATTTTGTATTAATTTATCTTAATTTTGAACTTTAAATAAATTTTTATTTAAAATGTCGTTAATAACGTATTCTTATATGCATTTAATGGCGTATAAAATATTTATGTATATGATAAAAAAAATTTATTAGAAAATATTAAAAAAAATACATAAAGGAGATCTATTGGGCCTAAAAATAGCCCAAAACTATCAGGCCCACATGTAATGGGCCTAAAATACACAAATTCCAAAGAACAAAACAATTAACAGCAAATAATAAAAAAAAATTAAGTTAATTGAAAGATATTAAAATATTTGATTTAACATAATAATTAATAATAATAATAATAAATGTGGGGCTTGACTAAAATAGAAGTGCGTGCAATGCCGCGGCCGGCGGGGCGGCGATGGAACAGCCACCGGAGACGCGTCCACACGTGTGAGCAATCAATGTTTTGAAGCAATCACCGATGGCTTATTTTTCCCACTTGCCCTTTATTTATTTATTTATTTGTTGTCTGTTTATAATATTTTATGGAAAGACCCATTTGAGATCATCCACTTATTTTAATATTTTATTCGAAATATTATTATTATTATTATTTTAATTTGATTCGTCTTTATTGTATTGCATATGTTTCAAGGCAATTCATTTATTTGTCTTCAACTATTTTATTATTATTATTTATTTAAATCTTTATTTTCTTGTTGTTGGTATTGAAAAAACCAAAGCTTTTCACACTAATTTTTTTAAAAAATCAAAATTTTATTTTATTTTTAGAATTTATTACTATCAATTTAATATTTTTTGTGAATTATTTTATTAAATTTAAATGTTGATTTTTATAATTTAATAAGTAATAAAACTATTTAGAATAATAATTGAATTTATAAATTAAATGGTTACAAAAATTAAAAAAATAAATAAAAAGGAGAAAAAGAAAAACAGGTAAAAGACAGAGATACGGAGAAAGGGCCCAGAAAGGAGAAGCCATCTGGATGTCACATCAGCAGTAGGCTGTCCTGAGGGTGACGGACGGGTGGTGGGCCCTACGTGTAAGAGTTACATCACAGCCCGCCACGTTGATCGAAGAATCCAAAAGCCATGCGCGGGTGAGGAATCCCCATATCACACACTTTGTCCCCTAGCTGTAACGCTACCCTTCCCTTCTTTCCTTTTTTTTGCTCTTCCATTTCCACCCCTTTTCTTTACCATAATTGCATTTTCACCCCCAAAACTTCTTTTTCTTTTTACTTTCTTCCCACTCTTTTTTCCTTTTTCCCACTTCCAACCTAACTTCTTGTTTCTTTATTAAATATATGTACACACTTTTCACGTCGCTTTCAGGTTCAATATGAGGATTTTTATTTTTATTTTATAAATATACAAATATCTTCGTAAATAAATAACAAAATTATTTATTTATTTATTAAAAAATTATTTAATAAAAAAACCAAAAAAAATTGTCATTAATTATTTCCAATAATCCCTCGTCTTTTCCCTTAATTACGTTGTCTAATTAGCTAATCTCACCCTAATTTGGCTTCTTTATGCTCTCTCAATTAAATGGTAAATTAAATTACCCAACTTTAATTTAATCACTTTTCCCTAATTTAATGGATTCAATAATATATACACGAAATTAAAATATATATATATATTTTTTTTAATATTAAATTATAAATGAAACTATTTATAAGAATTTTATGAAAGATTCCATTAAACAATTAAATTAAAATTAAAAAATTTAGAATTATATCATCTAAATTCTAATTTTTTTAATTAAAATTTTTATTTAGTAGGTAAAAAATGTAGCATCAAGGTCGCGTCAAGTGAGGTTAAAAGAGTAGACTTAACAAGGGTAAATATTAAAACGAAGAAAAATATTAAAAAAAGGTAAAAAAAAAAAAGGTAAAAAATTAAAGTGAATTTGGACAAACCAACTGTTTGGTTGTCTTGTCAATGTTTTGAATGTTGTCCAAGTTTATATATATATATATATATATATTTCTTATTAAAATAAAATTTTTGAAAAATCCCCAAATAAATGTCTTTAAATTTTATTATTTTGCACACTTCAAACCCTAAAATTGCAACTCGAGCTTATAAAACAGGATGATTCAATATATTTTTCAATTGGTTGATTAAAACTTAAAACAAATCCAAAGAGCGAGGTTAATGTGTTAGGAATCACGACTCTCCATAATGGTATAATATTGTCCACTTTAAGCATAAGCTTTCGTACATTTGCTTTGGGCTTCCAAAAAGTCCTCATCCGAATGGAGATAGTATTCCTCATTTATAAACTCATAATCTTTCACTAAATTAGCCAACGTCGGATTCATTCCGAATAATCCGCAACATTATGTTCGAACGAATTTCGAATAAGTGAAAAGGGTTTGAAAAAGTTGACTCGAAACAAGTGTCGACCAGCTGCTCAAAACATTAAAATTTGAAGACAATTAAAATAAGTTGAGAAATATCCGGTCCCAAAGAGACAGCAAAGCACTTACAAAGTCAAACTTACGAGTTAAATTAAAATCCGCTGATCCAAAAACATAGGAGAGATAAGTGAGATGAAATGACGAAAATAGCCTCGAAGTAAAGAACTGACCAGATCTTTAGCGAGACCTAAAAATGGGGAAGACAAATTAAATAACAAAAATTGAGTTGGAAAAGTCATTGCTGTTGACCGACAACTTGGGGAGCCGGGATTCGGTTAAGACTTTAACCATGGTTAACTCCGGAGAGTTAGGAATTATGACAACCAAACCTAGACCATGGTTCCCTTTTTACCGCCCCGAACCTCCCTTGATTTCAGTGTTTTCATCTTAATTAAACCCCAACTATTTTGACTGTATCCCCATACAAACAAACAAAGACATTAATGTTCCATAAAAACAAAATTAATTTAAATTTCCAAATCAATTTTTTTATTTATATTTAACTCAACTTATTTTATTTAATAACCTAATAATTCCCTTAATTTGTTATCCCGAGCTATTACACTAAGAAAAACGAGTTCATTATCAACATAGCTCAACTAATTTAGATACGTAATCCCGACCAAAATATAAAAATTTAACCTCATTTTACCATTGTCGAACAAAAAAAAAAAAAATTGCAATCCCGAACAGATTTATTTTTCTAATCGCACATTTTTACATGATTGACTTTTGTTTGCATGAGTGAGCGTGCAAAAACATTGACTTGTTTATAAGGATAATCATACTTTTTTTTATTTAAAATAAAACTTAATATATATATATATATATATCAAATTTAAAGTGGTAATAATAATAATAATAATAAATATTTTATACAAAATAAAAGTAACTTTTAATCATTAAAAAATCAAAATAACATGATATAATGAAGCAACCCATGATTAATATGTTACCAAATTATGATATTTTCAAATAATTACTTTTATTGTTGGAAATTAATAAGAGAAATTGTGAGCCACGCGCTAGGAAGGAGAGTGGGAAAATAAAAGCAGGAAAAGGAAGAAAATAAAAAATGGAGTAAATCGATGTTAAATATAATAATAATTATTGAAAAATAAAAAATAGAGATAACAAACATGAAGGAAGGAGGAAGAGGACACCCGAATGAATGGCTGAATTTGTGGTCTTCTTGGGATGTGGTCGTTACACTTTTAAGATCTAAAAAAATAAAAATAAAAATTATTATTATTATTATTATTTGATTATATTAATAATAGTTTACTATAAATATGTCCTTAACTTAAGGAGTCATCAATAAATTTTAAAATTATTTAATTAATTAAAAAAATAACCAAATTTTAATTTTTTTTCTTATAAATTGAAATATTATTACCTTTCAATTATTAAAAAAAAAAAAAAGATAATTTATTTTATTTTAAAAAATATGTCTTTTTTTTTTTACGTATGTTACTGACTTTGTTTCGAAAAATATTGCCCAAATTTCGTTCTAAAAACAATGCGAAAGAAAAGGGAAAAAGTTACTTTTGGTGACGTAATAGGGTTAAAAACGATCATTCAAATTACAGTGGCAGTAATTTTTTAGGAACAAAAGTTACTAAAGTAAAATATTTTTTTTACTGTTAGTGGTATTTTGTCGATGTTGATTTGACTATAGGATTATTAAGTTAATTTAGTGATTAAGACATTATAATTGACCGAAATGTAAAAAATTAATGGTATAAAATTTATTTTTTTTAATAATTATGTAACGAATATTGATTAAAAATATATAATTAAATTAAAAAAAAAAAAAAAAAAA